TTATTTATATATATATATACTGTGTGTATATATATATATATATATATATATATGCATACTATTTATTTATGTATATTTAAATATAATATTTAAAAGATACAGAAACTGAATAAAATAAATAAAAATCTTAGGGGGAAAAATGTATCCTGAAGAAAACATTAAATACTCCAATCTATAGAAAATAGATGTAACTATTATCTCACTTTTGGTGCTTTTTCTGCTTTCAGCTTTCTGATCACCTCCCCCTGTTCGGACACACGCCCATATATGGCAGCAGGGGAGGAGTCAGGTAAAGGGGCTGGCTGCGGGGGAGATGCTGTGGGAGGAGCCATGCCTGGTTTGTATTCTTGACTAGTGAGCTGTTTAAACTCAGCTTTAAGAGCCAAGAGCTGTTTCACTGCAGCATCTACTTGCTCCTGTAAAATAAGGAAGACAATGGTCAACAATTACTTCAATATTTATCACAGTTATAGACAGTTCTAAACTACTAACAGACATGATGTCTGATGTCATGATGTCCTGCTGTATACTACTTACACCTTCTAAAGTTGTGGCCACATTTACCGCTGTTCTGCAGAAGTTTGTGGCATTTCAATAGAAAACTGTATGATCAAAAGTTTTGTGTGAGGGGAAAAAAGTTCCCCACACAGATTTCACTTGTGTTCAAGTTTGTCAAGCAAATTCCTGATCAAGAGAAAGCAGCTTGGTTTGAAAGTTACTTTTGTGTGACACTACATAGAAGATGCTATACTATTAAAGGGATAGTTCCACCAAAATTAAATTCTGTTGTTCCAGGCCTGTATGAATTTCTTTCTTCTGCTGAACACAAAATAAAATATTTTGAAAAATGTTGGTAACCAAATAATTCCACTGACTTCCATAGTATTTTTTTCCCCTCCATACTATGGAAGTCAATGAGGGCCAACAACTGTTTGGTTACCAACATTCTTCAAAAAATGTTTTTCCTGCATAATTTTGAGAATGTGCCCACACCTTAAGACAGGATCCCAATGAAGCAAACCCTTATAAGCAAGTGAAAATGCTTAGAATGCAGAAGTGTGGCTAGAAAATGCTGTCTAGGTAGGCAGCTTGCTAGGTTATGCAACAGTGACTGAAACAGACCTTGGGTGCTTTTTCAGCCTTCAGTTTACTGACCACCTTGCCCTGCTCAGCAACACGAGTGTATGGACAACCGGTGGAGGCAGGGCTTGGACTTTCTGCTGCAGCGGTGGGGGCGGAGCTCTTCGGTGCTGGAGCAGATGTGGGTGGAGCCATGCCAGGATTGTACTCCTGTCCGGTCAGTTGTTTAAACTCGGATTTCAAGGCCAAGAGCTGCTTTACAGCAGCGTCCACTTGCTCTTTAGGGGCCTTGTCTGTCTTGAGCTGCCTGACCAGGTCTCCCTGAGCCACAAGGCTGGAGTACAGGACGGAAGAGTCTCCTGGTGCGGCTGGCGCTGGGCTGGACACAGGAGCCTGCTTGGCTTTGCTCAGAGGAACAGACTCTGCCTTCACCTGAAGGAAGAACAATATGAATAGAGCGATCATTTTCTTCAACATTTGAAAACAAACTAATTAAGAGAACGAATAGATGTTTCAGTTTAGTGCTCACAGGTTTAGCAGCTGTCTGGCTCTTGCTCTTGTCCTTGGAGCCAGCAGTGGGCATCTCTTTTGTGTGTCCATCTGGGATGTACAGCAAGACACAGGGACTCTCCTTGCAGCTGTGGGGGCTGAACAAAGAGGTCAAATTACAAACAGAGCATAAAAACAGAAAATGTATTATTCATAAGACTCTGTGTTGAACGGATTAGAGGTGTAACCTGATTGGCTCATAAGGCTGATCACAGATATAGAAACCTCGTCTCTGCAGCTGTATGATGTCACCTTTCTTCAAGTCCTTCAGGCAAGGGTCTCCTAGCATCTTCTCCTCTATCTGGAAACAAAATATTCATTTTAATACATATCAACATTAAAACAATATATACAAAAGCTTTCAAGACTTTAGTGTTTTTGTTAAGAAATTAATACTTTTATTCAGCAAGGATGCATTGATCAAATGTGACAGTAATCACAAATTATGTTACAAAGTATTTATATTTCAAATAAATGCTGTTCTTTTAAACCTTCTACTCAAAAGATCCTAAAAATGTATTATGGTTCCCACAAAAATATCAAGTGTCACAACTGTTTTTAACATTGATAATAATAAATCTTCTTGAGCACCAAATCATTACATTAGAATGATTTCTGAAGGATCATTTGACACTGAAGACTAGCTTAATGGCTTCTGAAAATTCAGCTTTGCATCACAGGAATAAATACAATTTATAAATATATCAAAAGAGAAAACAGCTATATTTAAATTACATATTAAATTATTGTTTTTACTGTATTTGACCAAATAAATGTAGCCTTGGTGAGCATAATAGACTTCTAAATGTTTTTGTATTTTTGCATCTTCTCATGTAATGTAGTACCATTCATAAATGTTATGCAAATCAAGTGTGTAATTATGATGAACATACAGTAAGACTAATATAATTCTATCTTGACTATTTGTCTCATTGCAAAAAGACATTTATGTATTTTGCATTTATGTATTATAGATTTATATTCACAAATGAATGTAGCCAAGAACAGAACAGAACATTACTACCCAGACAACACCCCAACAGACTTGAGTACAACACCTTGCTGTTCTTGTTGATGTAATCCTTGAAATCGTCATCCTTGCCCAAAACCGGCTTGGTAATGAGGTGCTGGTAGTTGACGCAGACAGTGGGCACGAGTGGAGCGCAGCTGGATTCAGCGAGCCAGGTGATCTTAGTAGTCTTTTTATAATCAGTGTTCTCTAGGTTCAGATGACCATCCAGAGACGTGATCGCTCCACTGGCATCCCTAAAGACAGCAAGACAGAAACTACATGTAACTGCACATATACATTCACACACATATCTTTTTTAAAAGAAATATATTTTTACAGCAATGACACAAAATTGAGCTTAATGACAGCTTAAAGACATTGTGATGCCTTAAAAAAAAATATATATATATATATTTTTTTTTGTGTGTGTATTATTTTAGTATTTTATACATTGTAAATAATTTTGGGACTTTTATTTTGAAGTCATGATCTAATAGCGCTAATGCCCACATGATTTGACATGTTCAGAGAGAGAGAGAGAGAGAGAGAGAGAGAGAGAGAGAGAGAGAGAGA